AGAAGGGTTACCCTCTTTAAAGATGGTTGAAATAAAAAATAAAAGAAAAATATACCCAATCTGACCCAAGACCCCTGTTACGCGCCTGGTGTTAGCGCCAATGTGTGCCCTTGTGTGGACAGGAGATGTGCCCCCATCTGAAGCTGGAAACCTTGTTTTTGCAAAATAAATTGATGCAATTTGCTGTTATAGGCCTAATCAATAAATTCCTCATCAACCGATATAACCTTACACATTCTTGGAATTGATATAACATTATTGATGTCGTACACACCCTTCAGTGTGAAATGTGGCTCTCTTTGCAAGCACATCTAACATCTAAGGAAAGAAGAGCTTAGATTGGTACCAGATAAAATAATTTTGTTATCAACATTAATACATTATGCTAATTTTCAGCTTTGTAAGCGCATAAGACAGTGCAAATTATTTCTGTGACAGTCTTTTGAAGTGTGTAAAGCTCAATTTTATCCCATACATAGTCAAAATATTGGGGAGATGATACAATGGACCACCCCCCCCCCCCCCCTTGTCAAATATTGGGGGGATATATTCCCTCCATCCCCCCGGGATCTACGCCTATGACCCAGTACATCCTTCGAGACGAGTAGGGGGATACCCCGGTGTACTGGAACAGACAGCCCCTGTGGAGGACGACGAGAGCTGCTGGTACCGGGTTACCGGGTAGCACAGACACGAAGGGACCCTTAGGGGCGAAGAAAGTCATTGATCGAGTTCCTATTCCACATTTCAAGCGCCCTGAGCATCTTACATTAGATGGATTTGTGCGCTATATAAAACTATACTATTATTATTATAAAATTAGAATCGTTTTAAATTCATGTTATATCAAATTTTAGATGCCATTTTATATTATTTACTGGTCCAAGATTAGAAACCATCAACATATTTTCTAAATCTGAATCCACAATTGCAAGTGTTAGCATCATTATTATCCTCGTCATTTTATCATTAAAAATGTCATTCTTATTATCATTACTATAGTCATTATCATTATTATCAACAACTGCATTTTTATCTTTAACTATGTGTCTGCATCAAATTAATCTATTAAAGGTAGGCCTTCTTCACCTATTAGGGATACAATCACATTTTCTTCCCCTACATGGGTTATTCGATATTATCTAGTATGCGAATACGAGGATAGTATAATGCAAACAATGCAGACCTGCCAACTCACCCGATCCTGTCAGGTGTCACCCGATATTTTAACAAATCCCAGTTCTCCCGATCGAATCTAATTTTTATCCGATTTCACAGGCCACCCCCTTCCCCAAAAATACTCAATTTATGCATAATATGATTGGTTTGATCGTTATTATTCAATGTATTCGCCGCCTGCTCACTTCGCGGTGTAATAAACAGCAGCCATTTTCGCTACCGACGGCCAATGATTTGTAGTAAAGTGACCGTATCGACTTTTTTTGGTGTCTTGCATCATCTATTAGTTATTTCTGGAAACCTCCAGATGTTTTGGTAAATCTCCCGATTTTTTTAAAGATTTTTAAAACAATCTCCAGATTTTCATTACCCAAGGGTTGGCAGGTCTGACAATGTGTAGAACCATCACAATCCAATGCATGGCCTGTCATTGAACTTGGAGGGAGCTGTGCACCTGGCATGTCATCGCAAATTTAGAGCGTCTAGGTAACGAATGCGCACGAGATTCGTAATTTCAAAAATGGGATATTGTATACATGATTATGCTAAATTATATAGTCGGTAAACTTTTCCTTCAACCTGTAATGTAAAGCAGAGTAGTTGGTCTGTAAACGGTGAAGTAGAAATATACGTCATTGTCTGAAATTCAGTTTTATTGTTTCGTTAATATTTTGAAAACTGTGTTGTAAATCTGCCAAAATAAGATAGGAAAAGAATTTTAGGAGGCCTCGGCCAGTAGTGGCCTGATCCACAAGCTAATTGCGATGACAATTATTATTGCCATCTTAATTGCCATTATTATTTTACTGTATTATTTCAATCATCGGTTCTCATTACCGGTATGTCATGAGAAAAACACCATAATGTTCTGTTTTTCAAACAGAAACAGGCCTATTTTTTCTATTCTAATTTACCCGAGTAGCCAGACCAGGTTTTGTATGTACTTTGATGTCCAGAGAATTTGACTTCAGAAATTGGTTTAGGGCAGTCCAGAAATCATTTTTGGCTTGGTAACACATTTTCAAAATGTGGCGAAAGTCAATAAGTCAGTGTCAAAGGTCATAGCTATAGGGTCGTCATATCTCCGCAACCACTAGTGGTAGAGAGTTAATTTGTTCAAAACAGTCATGTTTCTATTTGCTCTAATGGAACGTTTTGCTAAAAAATGACCAGAAATGCTGTTTCTAACCTTTGACATGTTTCAAGGTCACAGCAATAGGGTAATTATATCTCCGCAACTACTGATGATAAATAGTTAATTGTGGTGTCAATATGTTCGGAACATTAATGTTTCTATTTGGTCTAATAGAGAAGTTTGCAAGATTGAAACATGTCAAAGGTCAGAACAGAATTTCCTTTCATTTGTTTTAGCAAACCTTTCTATAATTCCAAATAGAAAAGCGGATGTTCTGAACAAATTGGTACAAAAATTAACTCTCTACCACCAATGGTTGTGGAGATATGAAGATTCTATGGCTATAACCTTCAAACATGTCAAAGGTCAGGAACGGCTTTTCCGGTCGTATTTTAGTAAAATGTTCTATTAAATTTAGAGCCAATAGAAACATGAGTATTCCAAACAAATTGGCACCAAAATTAACGCTCTACCACCAGTCAATATTTGACAAGGGGGGGGGGGATGGTCCATTGTATCATCCCCCCAATATTTTGACTATGTATGGGATATAATGGAGCTTTACACACTTCAAAAGACTGTCAAAGAAATAATTTGTACTGTCTTATGCGCTTACAAAGATGAAAATTAGCATAATGTATTAATGTTGATAACAAAATTATTTTATCTGGTACCAATCTAAGCTCTTCTTTCCTTAGATGTTAGATGTGCTTGCAAAGAGAGCCACATTTCACACTGAAGAGTGTGTACGACATCAGTTATGTTATGTCAAATCCAAGGTTATATCGGTTGATGAGGAATTTATTGATTAGGCCTATAATAGTAAATTGCATCAATTTATTATGCAAAACAAGGTTTCCAGCTTCAGAGGGGGTCACATCCCCTGTCCGCACAAGGGCACACACTGGCGCTAACTCCAGGCGCGTAACAGGGGCCTTGGGTCAGAGTGGGTATTTATTAATTTTATTTTTTATTTCAACCATCTTTAAAGAGGGTAACCCTTCTAGTTTAGTCCAGTAGATTAACTGATATTCAGGGGCCCTCTTTAATAAAATTAAAGAACAGTACAAACAACATCATTACAACATAATAATAATAATAATAATAATAATAATAATAATAATAATAATAATAATAAT